TCCCCCGCCTCTGCCGCTGTGCCCGTCTCCCCCGCCTCTGCCGCTGTGCCCGTGTCCCCCGCCCCTGCCGCTGTGCCCATGTCCCTCAGTAATGTGCCCCTGCTTCCGCATGACACACAGACGTCTCTGCCGCTGCCGCTCCCGTGTCCCTGGGCTGGGGCTTTCCGTAGAATCGGGACAGGCGTGTCGCATCACTGTGCGAGTTTTTCCGGGTTTTTCCAAGGGAGTGTGCATTTAGCTCTGAGACGTTTCTGACAACATTCCCATGACTGTCGGCACTGGGGGGGCTTGTATTATGTCCTGTGCCCCCCGCCCTGCTGCCTCAGGCTGTCGCTTTATTGGCTGGCCTCTCTGCTTCTGACCTGTGCTTCCGGAAAACACCGGGGGGGAGCCCTTCCTCACCCCAAAGCAGGGAGCCTGTCCGTAACACTTCCTGTAGGCGTCCTTCTGGCTGGCTACCACTGGGGGGCAGATCTGGGCGGGGGGGCATCGTGGGAATGGGGGCAGCCCGCACAGGGCCTGGGCTTTGTGGTCCAGCTCGCATGTGTCACTTAGCTTAGGGTCTTCAGAGAGCATCATTGCCTGCGTCAGTGTAGTGGATTTGCGTGATGCAATTGCCTCGATTGGTATGAGTTTGCCTGTGAGAGTCAGGCCCAGGGAGGGGTTAACAGTGGCCAGTCTGTGCTCCCACCCCTTTTCCCTGATTGGCTGAGCTTGGCCTGATTGGCAGCTGGGAGAGAGGGAGCGAGGGAGGACCGGAGCTTGGCTGTGAGAAAGGTCTGTGGTGTGGCCCAGGTTGGGGCTGCCGCCGTTGCTGCCTCTCCTCCTCCTCCTCCTCCTCCTGCTCCTCCTAGTCGTCCTCCGTCGCTGCCAGGCCGCCACATCCATGGGACTGGCTGTGCGGTGGGAGTGTGCTCTGCCCGCCCGCCATGGCCTGCCTTAGCCTGGAGACTCCGGCTGGCTGCCAACGCACATTCACCCCAGGTACCTCTCTGCTCTCCTGTCACTCTGTCTATCTCTCTCTCTCTCTCTCCCCCTGTCCCTCTCTTTCTGTCGCTCTCTCACACTCCTCCTAAAGTGTCAGTATAGACAGGCATGTTATAGGATGTGCTGTTACTGCCCTTGAATGCCTGTGCGTGGGTGTGTGAGTGTGGGTGGGTGGATTATGTATGTACACATAGTGGGGATGTTATTTTGACCTTGTGGGGACATTTTTTCTGTCTGTCTGTTTTATACAAACTGTGAATGCAATCAAAAAACTAAAAATGCCAGAAATCTGGTATTTTGTTTGACTATTTATGGTTTAGGAAGGTTGTCATAGTTAGGATTAGGATTAGGATAAGGATAGAGTCCCCACAAAGGTATTAATACAATGTTTGTGTGTATGTGTGTGTGTGTGTGTGTGTCTCTGTGAGCTTCTTTGTGTTTGTTCCTGTTAATTTGTGTGTGTGTGTGTGTGTGTGTGTCTCATAGTTGTGGGCCAGAAGCTTGTTGATCCATCAGAGGTAATCCTGCTTGATCCCCCCCCCACCCCCCCGTGTTAGTTGTCTTTCACTGGAATCCTGAAGAGAATATCAGGGTCAGCAATGTCACTGTGCCAGGGTACCTGTACTGGGTGAGCGTGTGTGAGGTTCAGTGACAGCTGTGAGGACCTCTGACCCCCCACCCGTCCGCGGTGTTCCTGTGTTACCTGCACGTGGCTCTGCAAGCCTTTGTGGCTGGGAGGGGCTCTGTAACACTTTGTGTTTGGATGATTTCAGGGTCAATGTGTGTTTCCCTTGGGGAGCTGGAGGGGACTAAGGAGGCTGTTTAGGTTAAAAGGGAGAGATGTTCACCTGTACGGCTGCCTAGGTCACAGCGTATGTCAGCATGGGGCTTGACTGGAAGGCAGATCCTGTGGGGGGGGGAGTGTTGTGGGGGTAGTTCAGTGACCGTGACGGGAGCAGAGTCCACTTCTGAGTGTTTTTCTTTGGTACCAACCATTCCTGACGTGGAACAGCACCCCTTTCAAAGGCGCAACAGCGCCGCCCTCCAGGTCACAGGCCAGCGTTTCCTCACACGCTACGTCACCCACTGTGATTCATCGGCGTGAGACAGGAAGGTCTGGCATTTCGCCGGTTAGAAACAGTCAGTGTACCAGTGGGGAGAGAGGCTCGACACCCCGCCCCATCGTTCCTCATGCCTCGGTGGGGAGGTGGGGGTGGGGGCTTCCTACTGGTCCCCGTCTCCCCGTCCTTGCCCCCTCGGATCTGTTTCCCAGGCCTCGTTCTCACAGCTGTGGGGTTTATTTTCGCCGGGGTGATTCAGTGTCCACATCGCATGCGACCCCACGTTTCCCTGGAGACGACCACCGCCTGGGGTTGCAGACGGGGGGGCTGGGAGGGGCGGGTCAGCATGACCTCCAAATCCTCGCTTTTGCCTGTTTCCAAAAATTTTGCTGTCGAGGAGACGTGTTTGTAAATGTTTAAATTAGACACTGACGTCCAGCATTTTGAGGGGGCGGGCTTAGGGAGGGGCAGCCAGGCCTGTGCTGGTCTGCTTATGATGCCCCAGCGCACGTTTTGGCAGCAGATGCAGGGTCCCTGGGGGGGTAAAAGGCCCCCGCTTTTGGGAAAACGTCTCTATCCTACAGAGGATGTGATCCCACCTGGTGCTGGGGGGGTCACACAAAGCCACTCCAGAAGGTCAGGCCAGTGTCACACTTCACCATGTTTACCTGCTTGTCATTACCCATCCCCCCCCTCCACAGCCCTCCAACTCCAGTTGCAGCAGAGACGCACACGGCAGCAGCTAGCAGACCAGGGCATCATGCCACGTGAGTATGTCCACACCTGCAGTACTAACCTCGCTCTCCAGGTGGTGCTGCTGAGTACAACACTCCTTTAAAGGCAGTTTGAAATGCAGTATGTACACAGCCCAATCCTGCTTATTCAGCACATTTCTTGCTATTTGTTTGTTGTGTTGGGGTTTGAGGTGACATCCCCCCTCCCGGTGCATGACTAAGGGTGAGGGCCCTCTGTGTGTTGTGACCCTTCCCTCACTGATAACCTCACATGCCACAACACCCACCCACCCCCTCCAGCCTCATCTGCAAGGATGTCCCCCGGGGATCCTTCAGAAAAACAGACTTTGGAGCATTCTTGTCTCGCAGCGGTGTGGTGACCCCTGACCCCGTGTCTTCCTCTGCTATCGGGAAGTGAGCTGGCCCAGCTTCAGGGCGGGGCTTTTCCCAAACGGTGGCACGTTGGGGGTTTATAGCCTGCTGATCATCCCCCTCCCCTCCTGTCCCGCATCACTGTGTCTGTCATGCTCTGGCTCCGCTCCCCCCTTCCCCGAAAGGCGTGTTATCAAACCCCCATGTCAGCCTCGCTGCCAATCAACACGCTACACGTGTGTGCCACTCCTCGTCTGTGGAACGCTCATGCCGACATTCCTGTTATTAATGTATCCATCTGCCGTGTGTGGCTCTGCATTTATTTGGGTTTCGACCCCCCACCCCCCCCACATCACGGACACTTTCGGTGGCGAGCTCCTCAGCCATCGCCGGTCTCTGGCCCTCATCTCCCTCTGCTTGCCTGAATGAGTCGTATCCTGTACGCCACTGCGGTCATGTTGAGGGCATCAACAGCTGTCACTCCTCACCATAAACCCCTAACCCACAGAACATGAACCACAACCGTGACCCTAAACCCTGACCGTAACCATGAACCGCCGCTGTCACTGTAACCCGTATGCGTAACCCCATAACCATGAAGACTGAAACCCCGCCCTCCATCCCGTAGCCCTGAAGAGCCCGGCTGTGTTCCACGAACGTATCCGCAGCCTGGAGAGAGCCCGGGTAGGTACGGCGCCCCCCTCAGGCAGACACAGCCAAGCGCCCTGTGCTGCCACGCTTCCTCAGTCTCCTCTGTCCTTTTCCGCTTCACAGACAGAGAATTTCTTGAAGCAGAAGATCCGGAGTCGGCCGCAGCGCTCCGAGCTGGTGCGCATGCACATCCTGCAAGGTGAGGCCGTCGCCACGGTGACCCGGCCCTGGAGGGGTTCCCGGACCATTCCATCCCTGATGAGAGCCCCCCCCCCCCCGACAGAGACGGCGGCCGAGCCCTCACTCCAGGCCGCGCAGATGAAGCTGAAGCGAGCGCGTCTGGCCGACGACCTCAACGAGAAGATCGCGCAGCGGCCCGGCCCCATGGAGCTGGTGGAGAAGAACATCCTGCCTGTGGACTGCAATGTGAAGGAGGCCATTTCCGGTGAGGGCTGCTGGGAGGGGGCGCTGTGCCTGTGTTCAACAGGTTGCTGGTTTAAACCCCATGTAATAAGTAATAAGTGGCATCTATTGTACAGAAGTGAAACTTCAATACATGTTGAAGTAGCCCAGTGCCTTAAGCACTAAGCCCCCTGCTGCCCCCTCCTGGTGAATGTTGATTAATAAGCTCCGCCCCCCCGCCGGACATGCTGATCCCCCAGGCGGCGAGGTGGGGTATCCCCAGACGCACGACGTGTACACCTTCGACGAGGACAGCGGTGACATCCCCTCCCCAGAGCGGCCAGCCAGCCAGGAATCCCAAGGCTCCTCCGCGTCTCCCCCGGCCCCCAGGCCTGGCGAGACCCCCCCCACGGCCCCTGCCCAGGTGCCCCCCACCTCCCCCATTGCTCCATTAGATTATCACGGGGGAATTTAGCAGCCACCATGAAGGCCATCCCCCACCAGACTATAATCACGATCAGGGCCGGACCAACAGCGGCCTGGTGGCCCCCCCATCTGATGGTGCCCTGGTTCTGTTAGCCTGATTTGCCACGACGCCTGTAGCTCTTTCCATCTCCCCCTCACAGCTCTGCCCGGCAGTGTCCCAGCCCACTCCGGACCTCCCCAAGCCACCCCCCCCCTCATCCTCCAGTGAGCAGCCGGCGGGTCATGTGACCACGTCCCCACAGAAGCCAGGCCCGACTTTGGTGAAGGTAACATGTGTACACACACACACACAGATACACCCGGCCGTGCCATAGCAGGATGGAAAGTGCAGTCTCATAATGGGGTTTCCTTCACCTCCCTGAGGGGTTGGGGTCGTGACCCCTTGTTTCCTGCCTCTTCCCTGTCCTGACAGTTGGACTGACCTCCCTTTTCCTGCCTGCCCCACCTACGGTAAAGGGGTTACCCAAATGCATGGTTATGTCGGGGGAGGGCAGGGGGTCCCTCTCCACTGCTTGACACCCACTATGTTCTCGCCTGCGTTTCCGATCCTGCCCCCCCCCCAGCCAATGTTTATCCTTAATACCCCCTAGCTGCGATCAAATGGTTAATTTTGCTTTCACCATTGAAACTCCCGTGATGAATTCGGGACCATTGGTCCCATGACGATGTCACATTATGACGTCACACGACCCTTTCAGCAAAGCCAGCCCAAGCTGCCCAGCGACAAGACGCGCAGCAAGAAGGGCAGGGAGGCACGTCCGCGCGTCAAGAAGTTCAAGTACCACCAGTACATGCCGCCGGAGCAGCGGGCGGCGCCCGGCCAGCCTGCCATGGACTCCTGCTACTCGCGCCTCCTGCAGCAGCAGCAGCTCTTCCTGCAGCTGCAGATCCTCAGCCAGCAGCAGTGTAGCGGCTACCGGGCCGCGCTGCCCGCTGACCCCGGGTACGAGCCGCCACCACCGCCTCTGATTAGCGCTGGTTTGCTCCTGCTCTTTTCTTCTACAACCGGTTTTCTCTTCCCTCCAGGCCGGCAGCTGATGGACAGAAGAGTCCGGGGGTGGTGGCACTGCCCAGTAATGGGCTCTCAGCCCCCTTGCTGGTGTCCCTGCCCACGGCGACCCCCCCACACTCCAACCACGCCGCCACCAGCCACAAGCCCGGACCGCTGCCAGCCAAACTGGATGACATGAAGGTGCAGTTCAGCCAGGCCAGCAGGGGGTGCCAGAGCATGGTGAACGGTGCGCTGACTGCACTGGTGAATTTGTGTGGCTCAGTCTGAAAGGTCTTTGTTTGCAGGTGGCCGAGCTGAAGTGCGAGCTGAAGCTGAGAGGGCTTCCTGTCTCAGGGACCAAGGTGGATCTCATAGAGCGCCTGAGGCCTTACCAGGAGAAGAGCTCAGCCCCCGATACCATGGATACACTGCAGGGGGCAGCAGAGAGCGCCAGCTTGACTTCCCCTGGATCACCGGGTGCAGGTGCAGAGGAGACTGAGTCCGCACGTGGCTCGCCCATGGGGGAGGACCCTGGGCCGTCAGAGAGGGACCAGCAGCTCCACGAGAAGGAGCGTCAGATCGAGGAGCTCATGCGACAGCTGGAACGCGAACAGCGGCTGGTCGAAGAGCTAAAGATGCAGCTGGAGGTGGAAAAGCGCCACCAGCAGGGGGAGCCAAGAATGCCCTCCCCCGTGAAGGAAGAGGGTGGGGTGTCCCCGAGCTGCAACCCCATCCACATGGCGGCACACAAGCAGGAGAAGCCGCTTGCGCCCCCAGGACAGGACCAGGTGCCCATGCTACCGCAGTTCCTCCTCAGTCACCAACCTGGGGCCTCGATCCTGCTTCCCGTTTCCCTCCCTGCCCGCAGCACTGGCCCGCAGGTACGTCACACTCCTGGGTACCTAAAGCACCCCTTAGCATTAGCATTAGCATTAGCACTAGCATTAGCATCACGGTTTACAATATCTGTGGGGTTTTTCGTTTGTGTTCTCCCCCCCCCAGCCACAGCCATCCCTGCAGGCTGCTGTGTCCACTTCAGCCCCAGGTCTCATCCAGGCCTCCATTCCTCCGATGCAGCTTCAGGACACGGAGGCTTTGGCGGCCCAACCCCACAGTGAGGTCCATTATATGGCCCAGGTGAGCACACCTTTAACCCCGCCCCCCCCACCCCCCCACCCTACCACGGTCATTTTCTCGCCATACTGTTTATCGATAAAATTAAACACAGTTTCCACTTGCCTTCTGGGTGTCTCTTTGGGCGACAGAGTGATTAGGCCATGTTATAAAGACCCGGGCAGCGGTCGTGTGAATGCACTCGCGGGCTCTGGGGCGCGTGACCCACATCGCTGCAGGCCTTTGGGGACCCTGCTATGTATGCTGACCCCATGGGGGCCGTCGGGCCCCCGTCTGCGGGAATCCACCCATATCTCACATCAAAGGCGCCAGAGAAGAATCTGAGGCCAGGGCTCAGAGGTGGAATTGGGGGGTTGGGATGAGCCAGACCAGGCAGCTGGCGGCTGCTTTGCGGTCACAGTAATGGTCAGAACTGGGTGCAGAATCTGTTCTCCATAACATAGCAGAAACTATCATGACTGAGGGCCAGGATGAGGTTCCATTACCAGAAGAGTCAGAAGAGGATGTGGGGGGGGAGACATGATGGGGACACAGGAGGGAGGACATGGAAGAGGACAGTGTCCCTGTCCCTTCACGACCCCCCCCCAAGGATCCCTGTTACCCCCCCCTCAGTATGTCCTGCTATGTCAAGGGTAATATGATCGTGAGGGACACTGTCATCACAGCCCTGCCCCCACAGACCCTCCCAGCAAGCTCTGCCCCCACTTTCCAGTACACTCACAGTGGCCAGGCTGTGACGGAGGTCCCCCAGTGCTTTCTGCAGTCCCCCCCAGACCGGCAGCCATCTCCTGGGCGTCCCCCCAGCCAGGCGCTGCATAACGGCCTGGCGAAGCAGGTCTGTCCTGCGTGCAGCATGAACGCTCCTGTTTAAACCGTCTGTGTGTGGCAATTTAATGACCCTAAGCCCCTCCCACAGCCTCCCTCCCAGCCCACCTACATCCTCCAACCAACCGCCTTCACCAGCCACGCCCCCAAGATCAAAGACCCACCCCGCTATGAAGAGGCCGTCAAGCAGACCCGTGGCCTCCAGGCCTCCACACAGGTAGGGGGCGCTGCAGTGTACACAGGGTCAGTGCTCTTGGTCATACAAATCTTAATCTGCACTGACACTTCTGTGTCACCTGCTCAGGTTTCCATGGCGACCAGCCAGCAGATGGACGATCTGTTTGACGTCCTGATCGAGAGTGGAGGTGAGATCCCCTGGTGTCACAGGCCCCGCCCCCTGACCCCCGACCTTCTCGCTGGGCGTGTACTTCCTGTCCTTTACTGACTGCCGCGTCTTGGGCACAGAAATGTCGCCCTTCACCCGACAGGACCCCCCGGCCCCAGCCAAGACGCTGACTGCTTGTGTCACCACGCTGCCCGTGGGGATGGTTCTGTCGCGGCCCCCACCTCAGGTCCACGAGGCCCCCCCTTCGTGCCGCCAGCCTGCTCTCGCTCCCTCGCTGCCCCTGATGGACGAGCTGGACCACCAGCTGCTAGAGCCCCCCCTCTCCCCCATGGACACGTCCTCGCTGTGCCTGCCCCCCCCCTCCTTCGATGGCATGGACTGGATGGACCTCCCCCTTGTGGGACCCCTAGGGGCGACCCCAGCAGGGGGGATCTTCTCCTCGGACATCGATACCCATGACCTGCAGCTTCAGTGGGACTGAGGGGGCGGAGTTAAAGCAAGGACTACGTTTCATAAAGCAGGCAGAGCAACAGCTTGAAGCACTTTCTGTTCTTTCTCTGGGATGTTTTAGGGCTTTTCTGGGACAGAGATTCTCAGCAAAAACAGGAAAATGTTCACAAACTCGCACTCTCTCTCACACACACACACACACACACCTCCTGCCTGCAGCTGAGGACACAGGCTGCTCCTGCTAAGGGCTCCTGGTCTGGGGAGCATCAGAAGGGGGGTCGGGGGGCAGGCTCCACAAAAACACCACATAACAGGGCTGTTCTCTCCAGGGTCCAAAGGGCGTGTTTTGGGTCAAGCTGTTCCCTGGTCCTGCGCTGTCTGGATAAATCCCAAACTGTTCCGGACCCCATAGTCTGTCTCCCGTCACTTGGGCTTGTGTGCAGCATAACTGCTAGTCTAGACGAGGTCATGACTGTCACAGACCGTGACTGTGTTACATCGACACCGTGGACCTTCTGGATCAGGAAGAATGAGGACGTGGGTTGTCATGTTTTATAACTGTCACTTTTAAGGAAGCTGGTCTGTCTGCTCATGGGGATACTGCCAGATGAGGATGATCCTTCCAGCCGCACACATGCCCAGTTTGGCTGCTCTGTGCCCTCGATAAGGTGCCCGGAGCTGGAGGCGTGGCCCGTTTGCCTGGAAGGATAACGGAAGCCGAATGCTAAGCTAAGACTTAGCGAGGAACCCGTCATGCTGTGCTAAGAGACGCCAGCAGCTGATTTGCATGTTTGTGTAGCCATGACACAAAAGGAGATCGGTAGCAAAACTGTGGTCTCACAGGCGCCCTATTCGGGGCAAAGTTTGCAAGGGGGGCTGGTTAGTCAGAAGGGGAGTAAAAAAAAATTATAATAAATAATGGCTTAGTGGCTTAACAGATTTGTATCCAGTAGGATGTTGGTTCAAGTCCTCCAGGTAGCACCCAGGAAGTCAGCTGCCCAGAACAGTTCGCGATATAGAAACTCAGCTGTATATACACAGGCAAAATGATCACGTGCTAAACCGGCCATACTGTAGCCAAAGGCAGGACGTTCTTTTTAAACCAACAGGTCACCTTAGCTTGACCGTCAGATACAGATCTCAGCTTCACCGGGCACTTTTCTGCCTGAATGTGTTCATATTTCTCAGTTGAGGTTAGAGAGCTATATATAATAAGCATTGCATTGCCATCTAGTGGCCAAACTCAGCAGTGAAAGTAAGTCAAATTGCGCGATCTGTAGTGGGTCCTAGTCACTGTCTGGACTCGGATGACCCTGCTGGGAACGTGGTGATCAGACGGTTCTTCTACTCTTGGTCCTTCCTAGTTTGCTCAAGGGCCCAGAAGTCATATGATTATTCTGCCAGTTATGGGCTATGACCCCACTATCTTCTCGACACAGATAAGGACTCCTGACCCAGAGAGCCCCATGCACCCCTCTTCCTACAAGGAGAGCGTGACGCATATGGCAGCTTGCTGCACACCTTCTGACCGCTCTTGTTACGCACAGAGAAGGCAGAGTTGGGAGATCTTTCCGGAAGCTGGCCACCCCATAAACACTGCCTGCATCCCCACTGGACGTCGGCTGGAGACACGCCTACCCCTCGCACCCTTAAACTGTGACCAGGGTTGGGCCAGGATAACCCTCAGTGCCCTATCCTCAGTGCCTCTCACATATCCAAACCCCGCCAGGATTCTTCTTCACTTCCAAATTGTTATGATGCCAGCATTTTGCACATCGTGTAAATAATTTTACAAACAAATGTCCTGCATATTTTTATATGTCTATTTCAAAGCCACAAGCCGTATTCTGACTTTGGCTTCTGAAGGGTTTGTATCTCGGCCTCTTGTGGTAATAAATTTCGTTAACATTCTCAGATGCCGTGTCTGATTGACTTCCGGCCCCGCGGCAAATATCAAAGCCCCTGCCATCTCCGTTATGCCAGTCAGCTTTTACCTTTCACTCATTCCCAGGCTCACATTAATGCAATTTTAACTATTTGCATCCTCTTTCTGTTCCGTGTTTGAATTACTGGGTTTGCTACACTTCAGGACCTTGACGTTTCTCATAAAAAAGGACTATTCCTCATCTTCATGCCGAGCTGACAGAGGTAATTATCCATAAAGCGGCCTTGACTTTGCATGTGACCAAATTTCATTTTCATATATTAATTTTTCTGCAGAGTATTATGTCTACAAAGATAAATATGCCATTGTTTATTTTAGATAAACAAATTCATACAGACACTTCCCTGTCAAGCATTTACAAAGAATGGGCTCACACTCTTCAGCGAGACGCATCGAGGGGACAGGATAGTGCCCCCTGCTGTCCGTGGGGAATTCCGCTCACTGCTGGATGGGAAAAGTCGCGATGACTCAGACTTCCTGGTCGTGTTGCATCCCGATCCTTAACTCTTCCGTGAGCAGTTTAGTCCCTAACACCCCTGGAAGTCTCATTGTCCACCATCCAGACACAACCCGGTGAAGGACCAAAGTTCTTCCATCGTTCAAACTGTACTTCTGCTCACCCGCCATTTAAGGGAGGGGGGACAGCATTGGGGTTAGGGGGAGGGCTCACAGCTTCTTGCAGACGTGAATCTGAGACCGGCACTTGGGACACTTGTGCACAATATCTTTGAAGCAGTTTGTGCAGAACGGGAGGAGACAGCAGCCCAACACACATCTGCGGGAGAATGGATCAAATCCACAGACTTCGTGTGAGAAATCATGTAACCTCCTTAATGTAGATTAGTGCAGATAAGCATGGATTAAGAGGGAATGCTGCCCTGCATTGCTTACCCAAACAAGACAGTCATGACGCAGACCAGCCAGGCTGTGCTGCCTACCCTGGTGGCCGTCTCCGTGACGATGTACTGATGGCACGATGGGCACATGGTGTTGGATGGTGCAGGGGGCAGGTTTTCCACGTCCAGAATGATCTGTGGAGCTGAAGGTGTGAGGTGGACTTTAGATGGCTTCCTTGAGGTCTGAGTGGAGATTGACTTCATGCTATCTGAAGCTATTTGGCTAACAGGCGCTAACAGGCTAACTGGAGCACTGGAAGTACAGGAGAGGTGCAGAGTGCTGCAGGGAGTGACCTGTGCGGATCAAGCACATAATTTCTGCACTGTCCTGCAGCCAGAGGCTGCATCTGCCCGTCGCCCACTGAGAGAAGATCTGGGTGTTTGTTTTCTGGCCATCGCAGAAATTTGTGGCTCTGCTGGACCAGCTGAGGAAGGTTCCAGATAGTTCTGAATGTGCTGCGAGCATTGGAGCCAGGAGAGCGGGCATGGTGCAAACATCACGACCGCCGGAACCTTCTGGAAGCATCACCCACCTGGACCGGGTGGCGGAGGGGCAACGACGGCATTGATGGAGGCGGGGAAGACGGCCACACCTCCCATGTTGATGACATTTTGGATATCTGTGAAGACAGGAGCAGCCGACTGAGACAAGCTGGATACATCTCAGCGGAGACACCAGACCAGCCTGGGGAGGATGGAGGCTCGGCCTTTACCTGCTTCTGAGAAGCACATTTTAGCTGTTAATCTGTAATGAGGCAGAGGCTCTCTACAGCTAGCTATAAGCACACGCCCCCTACAGGGCCATACCACACACTGCACCATCACCTTCCTCCTTCTTGGTCTTCTGGCCCTGCCCCTGCAGCTGCTCCTCTTTCTCCTCCAGCTCCTTCATCTCCTGCTCGATCTTCTCCAGCTCGCTGGTCTTATCTGCATCTGCAAGAGGCCGACAGACAGCTGTCAGCAGGGAGCGTAAGGGATTTCTGGATAAAGACCTCAGCTGCATAATTGTGTCTTACACTAGCATTGTAACCCCCCCCCCACCACCACCCAATACCAGAGCCCTTCCGCATCAGGGGGCCGTTGCTCCTGAAATCCTCCAGCATGATCAGCAAGTTCCGGCGGTCTCTCAGCTGCTGCTGTCGTACCACCAGGCGGCCCAGTTCTGCCTCAACGTTCTCCTCCAGATTCGGCATCCTTGGGGGGGGGGGGCACCCAGGAAATCACACGCAGAACAGACGACACCCCCCCATGATTAGCACACTGCATCTGCAGACATCGTCCTGTAAGACGCTGCTGAACGTCCATAACACCAGCAGATGTCTGCACTTCGCCATTAATGCCCGGTATTAGAGACCAAGTGCTGGAGATTATAATGAATTTTCCGACATCGCAGAAATAGACCAGTCATTTTAGACTCTGTTTGCGATAGAGGTACTGCACCAGCAGAGGGCGTGGTGGTTAAGGGCTTCCCGTTCCGGCACCGCTCTGCCTTGGTCTCTCTGCTCGCTCTTTCAACTCGTTAGCATTTCCTATTGCTCAATTAAATGCTACTTACAAACCCGACTTCCTTAATGTCAAGCCAGAAGCTCACGTGTGAGGAATAAATGCTTCATTATAGGATCTTCTTACAGTATATTAAGATATACAGTAACCCCTTTACATTTGCAAGAGTTAGTGGTAGAAAGGTGGAAGGTGAAAATTCATGAATGTGAAGGGGTTACTGTATTCATATATCATTGAAATATCAACTTTTTGCTTATATATTGCCATCAGTTTCATGAACGCAATGACATCACAATGCATTAAATAACACTAGAGCCCACAAGCAGAATCTCCATGTCAAACACTTTGTCAGAATAAATGATTTCATGAACGGTGCTTTTAAAGGTATGAATACTCTCAAGAGCACAATATCCTATATCAGACGACCTCAGAGAAAAACTGCATTACCTGGTTGTGGGGATCGAAATGACCAGCTCCAGAGAGGTTCCACAGCAGGAGGGGGGTTCCTCACCCACGGGGGGGGGGCCCGGGGGCTCGATTGAAACAGCAGAGGTGACCTGATTTCTGGCTGACACGGCCGGAACCGTTTGATTAACGGTTCAGAACACGACGAAGATGATGGACTTTTCTTTGCTTAACTTTTTAAAAGTTTTATTAAAATTTTCAAACTTTACATTGGATGTTTTTTTACCAAAAAATGTCTGTTACAGCCTCATAGCATAAAAAATTTAATACAAAAGTGATATACACAATGTCACAGCAGCACAAGGCTCCCTGTGTCTTTCAACGCGTTTCTAGATGCTGTCCGGCGGTCTGGAGCAGAACGTCAGTAGTCCAGCGGCTCCTCCGTTTTCTGTACTTGAAACGCGACAGTGCTGAAGTCAGACGATGGGACACATGCGAGATCCAGGTTCCAGAGACGCACGGCAAGTGATACCTGATGACGAACCACAAAAATCCTGCGTAAAAACATTCACCAAACGCATAATTTTCACCGTTCACACTTTCTGCGAAAGCGAGAGCACCGAACTCTAACTGTCAGATCTGCCCAGTCTTCCCAAAATGCATTTTAGTGTCTCTGCTCATTTGCAAATGCACAAGACAGAGAACAAAGGGTCTCACAAGCTAACAGGAGGTCAGCTTTTAATATCTTTGCATACGCAAATTCCCCCCTCCCGCTTTCAGTGCCCCCGCCACCACGACAACGGACATGGAGGCAGGTCAGCCTCCCTCCCTATCTAAACAGGGCTGACAACTTCGGTCAGCTGGGTGGCGTGGTATATTCAATTTGAGATAAGTCACATGCATACACATTTACATATAAGTGACAGTTTTATTACCTTGCAAATAGTCTGTAGGGTTTGCAAACTACCCCAGTGCTTTTGAAATAGCTGATTTTAGGTTTATAATCTCACATGAGTCTGAAAGCATGAGTGTCACGGCAGATACGAGAGTTGGCAACCCTGGGTAAGAGCTTGTGGCGTCACCCACCTCACCAGCGTTCACTTCCTCCTCAGCTTCTTCATGAAGGTCACTTCATCCCGGTTCCGTATCCCATAGCTAAATGCAAACACACCGGCACTGAGTCCCTCCTCCAGCCTCCGTCTCGGATCTGTTAGCATGTCACCTACTTACTCTTTCAGCTTTGTCTTGTCGTCCTCCAGCTTCTCACCCTTGAACACCAGGTGGTATGTCCGCCACATGTACCTCCTACAAGATACAGGCAGGGAAGTATGCATAAAAGTAGTATGGAAGTATGGAACAAAGTATGCATAAAAGTAGTATGGAAGTATGGAACAAAGTATGCATAAAAGCTCCATTTCTAAGCCCGCATTCACTCCACCTCACGATAATAAGGTGCCATTACCAGCTGATGTGCTGGACTCCGCCCTCTCGTTGCTGCTTCAGCTCCACAAACCTGCGGATGGCCTTCTTTAGCTCCAGAACCGTGGCGTTCTGCACTACCACCACGGCTGCAAGACATTTTCACAGGCATTCCATTAATCTCTGGCCCAGACACCTTCCACTCTGGAATGGCTTCTAACATCCAAGAGTGGTGGCTATTTTAACTGCTCTGCTGCCACAGGAATGTCACCGAGGTACAAATGGCAGCTGACGCCAAACACTTACGCATGACTTCTCCATCAGCCTTGCACACGCGGACAGTCATGGCCTGGCCATACTCCAGAGCCACCTGGGAGTTCACCTCCTCTAAGGTCACCTGAAAGAACATTCGTCGTCAGGATTCATGATTCTCGGCAATGCAGACCTGCTGTGATGGGTTTTCACACAGGAGCAAAGGCACCAGTTAGATAGATTCATCATATTCTCCAGTGACTATCTCAGATCACAATCTAATCTAATCTGATCTATCCATTCATCAAGAAGCATGACTAACATACACAGACAGACATTGTATAGAAACCTGAATGGGCAGGTCACATAGAAGGGGATCTTGCACTAAGAGGGCCAATCCTTCTTCAAAGATATCCAAGAATTCCGAGTGAGGCAGTGCCTCCTCGTCCTCTTCCTCTTCCTCAATGTCTTCCTCCCAAGGCTGTTCATCCTCCACTGCTGCCTCCTCCCCTTGTTTCACATTAAGCTCTTCGGTGGAAGTTTCTGTGCATTCAGGCTCTGCCATCTAAATCAGACAGAATATTTCACAGAAATACCTCCCACTTCATTTCCTCATGTCACAACTAATAGCCTTTTTAAAAGTATTTCCACCTCGCGAGGCAGAAAAATGCCAGTATCTTGTAGATAAACTTCTCAAACGTCAACGTTTTCTACGGTCAGCATTTTGCCGTCAATCATTAGAAAAGGAAAAAACTAATATACTTTTCAGTCCCGCTTATCTGTGATCGGGGTATTCTGGTATTCGCTATTCAGTTGACCACTGCATAGAGATATTTTACTCCGTTATTTATTTTTGAAATGAAAATGGTAGATATAACTGTATTGCAACGCAGATTCACTCCGCTGCAAAACAAAGAGCAATTATTGCGAAAACTACGTGCGGGTAATTTAGATACTTGACATTTGTCTTGCATTACCCTGTCATAAGAATGGAATTTATACTAGTTTATATCTTAACTAAAATATATACACAGAAATAACTGAAATAACAGTTAGTTTATTCTTGATGTGTCATTTCATTATGGGAATATTTTCATCAGTAGGTTCTTACCTCAGGCGCCTGTTGCTGTAGCTGTTTCTCTTTTCAATAATAATAATAATAATAATAATAATAATAATAAAAATAAAAAAGTTAGTCTTTCAGTTACGTTTAACCTACCATTAACCCGTCTAACCAGGACTCGCCCCTTCCATCTAAATCGATCTGCACAAGGACTATTTACTGAACCGGAAAGTAAATAACCGCGATGCGCTTCGTTTAAACCAGCCCCCAATGAAACAACATGGCGGAACAAGTGTTGACTACCGACAATTTGATATAATTATCTTCATATTTCTTAAGTTAAAAACTTATACTTAAAAGTAAACTTAAATCTGCTCATTTTCATTACCGGTAGCCACGTGTTTGAAAAGCTATGGGGTTTTTATAATTATGCAGAAAAACCGCTTGTTTCCTACCGAACATCAAAAACCAGTTACACCTCGAAGCTGCGAAGACTCGTGTGTGAAGAGTCGAGCGGCTGGATTGACAAACTCCTACCTTACTTGTGTTTTCGGTGCGACTCTTTGTAAGACAGTATGCTCCTGTTTTGTCCCACGTGTGGAAATGTGCTGATTGTAGAGGAAGGTCAGAAGTGCTACCGATTCGCCTGCAGCACTTGTCCTTACGTGCATAACATTACCAGGAAGGTGAGTGTAAATCAAATTAAAGTGTAAAAAAAAAACTTTACTATTGTAATACCGTTATTTTTAATTTAAAAGCAGCTGTTAGCTACTTTATTTTCCTTCGTTCAGTGTGGATTTCTCCTAACTGCTATAAAGCTGTGTTAATCTTACGGATAAATTTCAAATGTGACTCTTCTGAACAATAGAGTGCACGGGGGAAAATATACATGAATAAACAGCCATTTTAGCAAGAAGACTTTATTGCCCCTTTACAGTTAGACATTTTGTCATCCGTCCATTAGGTGAATAACAGAAAGTATCCGAAGCTGAAGGAGGTGGACGATGTGCTGGGCGGAGCGGCTGCCTGGGAGAACGTGGACTCCACGGCCGGTGAGTGTCACCCTGGACCTGAGGGAGATACCTGTCCTCGCCCGCAGACTATACAAACCCCTACTTACGGCTGTTTGTGTGTTTGCGTGTCCTGCAGAAACCTGCCCGAAGTGCGAGCACCCACGAGCGTACTTCATGCAGCTCCAGACCCGATCCGCGGACGAGCCCATGACCACCTTTTACAAGTGCTGCAACCAACAATGCGGCCACCGTTGGAGGGACTGAACTGTAGACCGGGGTCGGATCCGTCAGCCAGACGCCAGAGAACCGCCCCTTTGTGTCTGTGTATCATAATCATAATACAGACCGCCGATGTATTGGCGTATGTGGGTCATGAACATCTGCGGACTTCGCACTTTAATATGAAGCAAAAAATGATCGAATTTAGTGTTTCGTAGTAACCAAAGCAGTGCTTATGTACAGCATTTTTGCCGATAAAGCTGAGCAGGGGATTTTTCAGTTTTTATTTGGTTTGCTAGACCAATTGACTTTTATAAAGGACTGCTCTGGGGGAAAAGCGCACCTTGGCTTACAGGGAAAGAAGCGATTTCTTACATACTCTAATCACTAACTTTATTAAAGATACAGAAAAAATTATACTTATTCCTTTTGATCTTTTGTTAAAAGACGCTTCACTTTGCGTCACATTGACCAGAGCGTCGGGCACACCAGAGGTAAACTCGTAGCTATTACTTCTCGTTGGCTTACCGTGGATAAATGTGGATAATGCCCACTAGTCACACAGAGAGTGTTTCTCAGTACCACGAACGCGAAGATCGTACTTGTCGTCTTGGCAGGTCAAGAACGACAGCCGGGAATTTTTACTGTCCTCCATACTTCTGGTCTTGAGTATTGGAACAGATCTTCTGTAGTGAAATATGATGTAAAACGGGTAAACGAGAACACAAGTATGGTCAAGTACGCATATTGAGAAAAACCCATAGACAGTTCTAGAATCTTTACATCATAGCTCCCCCGCCTGCATTAACAGGGGGAGTTGGCAGCTACAGTAATCAGGGGCATTCCACCTTTCTAGAGCAAGTGTTGTTTTACCAGCACAGATCCATGTGGACATACCAGTTTTATGGTGAAATCCATTAATACCATGAATGCTAAGGTGACATCACTAGATATGAAGACCTTGAGAAGCAGCTCTTCAGAAACACTGGCGAGTTTCAGGCTTTTGCAGAGTGTTGGTGATTCTGTAGTTTGTCAACAGTTTGAATCCTGTAGTCTTAACTGAACTGGGATCAGATATACCACAACACAGAATCCCGATTCCCATTCATAACCAATGATCTGACACAGAACTCGCCGATGTTTCATTGCGCATCATGGCCGTCTGTCAAACCTCATGAGGACAGTGACGACTAGAAGAGGTGTTTGTGAGGCAGCTTCAGCATCCAGCACGTTTACTGGTGTCTGAGAAATGTCTGTGTTTGAGCTGGACCTGTGGCCTGTACTACGAAGCGGGGTTACTGGCTTATCGAGGTAATTTGTCGGATTTAAGTTACCATAGTTTAAATGGACTTCTTCATATTCGCTCACTTACATTTTGGCCAGACTACCTTAAATCCAACAAGTTACCCCAATAAGCCAGTAACCCCGCTTCAAAGTACAGGCCACAGAAGTAAAGTCAGGCTAACAAGTTAAATGTTTGAATGTTTTATTTACCAGCTTCCCAAATATGCTCTTGAATTAAAAGTCACATAACGAACATCACCACAGACATCAGCAGAGGATGCAGGTATGGGGACTCGTAGAAGTGTAACATTCTTTTGCATACTGTGGAAAAGGGATTTTCTGGGTAATCTGAATTTCTGCCCTTTTTAACAATGACAGCTGTATGTCAGTGAATCCTGACCCAAAATGAGCAGGTCTTAGTGGCACCTGTAGGGCACGTAGGGCGTGGTGAACGGGGGCAAAGCAGGTCCCTCAGACAGAACCCAGGCCCTGCTTGCTTAGACTCCCATCTGTTAAAATAACTTAAAGTCATGTTTTAAATAAATGTCCATCAAACTTTCACTGGCGCTGCCTCAGACTTTGGTTCGGTCTGTGATGCTAAACTCTCCAGGGGTACCTACCTACTATCATATTCATGGTCTCCACCTCACTTCACTACCACAGCTTTCATACAGAATATCGACGAAAAAAATACCAGCTGTACAATCTGAGAATATCGACGCAAGACCAGCTGTGTGATCAGAGAATATCAACGAAAGACCAGCTGTGCAATCTGAGAATATCAAAGACCAGCTGTACGATCTGAGAATATCAACGAAAGACCAGCTGTACGATCTGAGAATATCAACGAAAGACCAGCTGTGCGATCTGAGAATATCGACGTAAAACCAGCTGCGTGATCTGACTTCAGCTCCGCCTCTTTTGCACACCACCTTAAAGGGGTCACTCTCATTCTCACAGAATACCAGACGCAGCGGTCCCAGTACAGGAGCGTGTGAGTATGGACATGGTTCAATGGGGGAAACGTGCATCCATTAGAGCCTACGGCAGCGGGCAGAGCGAGGGGGGGGCGGCTGCTGGGTGACAGGCTAACGTGCCCTCGTTAGCACATGCGCTTGTATGTGTAGATGTAGCCCTTGCAGTAGGGACAGGTATGCGTCACATCTTTGAGGTCGTTGATCAGGCAAGGGAGCAGACAGCAGCCGAAGTCGCACCTGCCAGAGAAGAGGCCATGGGTGAGTATCAGTACATTTTATTTACCTTTATTTTAAATTAATATACTTTTTGTAAAGGAGTCACTCTGTTGTCATTTCCTGTATGTTTGCTTTGAAATGTGATCCTTTCTGTCTGCGGTCTATACATGCAGTTAATGTAAAATGCTCCTCAATAGTGTCTTTAGTTTAGCTAGCAGTGACCCATGAGTGTCTCCAGATTAGCAGAGTGCAGTGAGGGATGAGTGTCTGCAGGTTAGCAAAGTATGGTGAGGGATGAGTGTCTGCAGGTTAGCATAAGGTAGTGAAGAATGAGTGTTTGCAGGTCAGCAGAGTGCAGTGAGGGATGAGTGTCTGCAGGATAGGAAGGTGCAGTGAGGGATTCGTGTCTGCAGCATAGGAAGGTGCAGTGAGGGATGAGTGTCTGCAGGATAGGAAGGTGCAGTGAGGGATTCGTGTCTGCAGCATAGGAAGGTGCAGTGAGGGATGAGTGTCTGCAGGATAGGAAGGTGCAGTGAGGGATGAGTGTCTGCAGGTTAGCAAGGTGCAGTGATAGATGATGGGCTAAGGGGTGACTATTTATGGATGGAGTTCTCCATGACTGGTTGCTGACACACATACACACACACACACACACACACACACACACATACACACACACACTCTCTTACCCCACAAAGCAGCAGAAGAGGCAGAAAAGTGTGTTCAAGAGGCCAATCTCGTAGGAGATGGATGTGATGATGGTCTGCTGGCAGTGTGGACACACTGTCTGCACTGGTGCCGACTGGAACATCTCGCCCTGCAGCACCGTCACCATGGTGGTGGCTCCCAGGGGGGACAGCACTGTGGTGGGCCGGCCTGGCTGGGCAGGGTAGCGACCAGGGGTGGGCTGTCCCACTACAAAGTGACACAGTGTGGTTACGCTGTGTGTGGGGACACACCTGCCGCTGAGTGTGCAATGCTGTGGTATCTCACATAAGAGCTTCGCGACCTTGACATCAGTGCGGTTCCTCTTACTGCAGCACACTGATGCACTGTCTCCTTGTGGATTATGAATACTCCATAATTTTCAAAGCCCAAGGATTGCTCCCTTATGAATGATTGTGACAGATTATGGATGTCATGCCGCTTGGCTCCTCGTATTACAGCGGTAAACCACATAATGTGCTCTAAGCCCTGAAACTGACCTCATTCTCTAACAGCTTCACGGTATAGCCTTCTTCTGGTCATGTGATCAGCCTGGAAGTGATGCTTACCGTAGGGGTGTGGCATGGGCATGGGCATGGGGGGTCCCTCCCCTGGAACATGCGGGGGCACAAAGCCCATGTGGGCACTGGGCTCGTAGGGTGGGGGTCCATACTCTGGAGGGAGTGGTGGTCCCTGTGGAGGTCCCGTCATCACTGGGGCGGTGGCTGAAGGACAGAGACAGGATGTTCTGTTGTACAGTCAGATCTCTGCAGCACAGCACCGTCATCGTAGGTTACCAATCAAAACAAGCCCTTCCTAGCCTGCACGGCATCATGGGTAAGCTCCACCTTTGTCACCAACCTTGTACCCTAGATCAGTGTTTCCCAATCTGGGCCTCGTGGACCCCCAGAAAGTCCATGTCTGTGGCACAGAGCTGGAAGGGAGCAAAAATGTGGGCTGTCTGGGGATCCCCAAGGACTGTGCTGGGAAACACCGCCTTATATAACTACTGAGAGGCTCAGAGTGCCCACCAGCCACCGATAACACACATAATGCTTCTGTAAGCTACCTCCAGCAGTCGTGGGATGGTGAGGGGGGGGGGGCTGTTAAATTAAACCAGTCTCAACCTCTGTCGGGGAGGGGGGGGGGGGGGCTGTCTCCATCAGGATAAACGCCTCCCTTTTGGAGCTCCAGGCTCAGACATACCTGCATACCTCTAACTAGCCCCCCCAAGCAGATACACTACCACGGTATTCAAAGGGCAGTGCGGGGGGCACTGATGCGGGGGGCACTGATGCGGGGGGCACTGATGCGGGGGGCACTGATGCGGGGGGCACTGATGCGCGGGGCAGAGCAGGTCGCACCGAGCGGGTACCTGTGACGGCCGGCTGGCCGTTCTTCTCCTCGATGAGGGGGGCGCTGGGACCCCCGGGGTACGGAGGGGGGGGGTCGTTGGACATCCTTCCTGGATCAGTAGGGCAGAACGCTGGGAAACTTCCAGTTGGCCTTGTTTCTCTGTATCATGGAGACCAAACTGCTGTGAGAACGCCCCCCGAGCATTTATCGACCAATGGCTGGTCTCCAGGATCCGCACTCCACACTCCTGTGGCTTCTGTTTAGACACACAATGAAATGCCTGTGTGTGCCTGTCTGTCTGCACGTCTGATTGTACCTCTGTGTGTGTGTGTGTGTGTGTGTGCTTATTTCACTGGCTTAAGAGACCAAGCTTGATTGCTGTAGCAAAAGTTTAGAACCACTAAAGGATAAAAGAAGCCATAAACACTTCTTTCAGATTCAGAGCAGGCGCTGAACAATGGCAGTAAGGATGGCAGCTTCTGAAAGCAGACTCTCAAACACAAACCTATTCAAAAGCTTCTAGTTTCACTCTTTGCCCACAGTTGGCTTCTACTCAGGAGATAATGAGCATCAGTACACCCCACCCCACCCACACCAGTGCAAGAGTAGAACAGAGGTTTCCATTTGGGAATTGGACCTGTGGGCCGTCTCCATATCCTGAAATGTTTGCTACCAGCCTGCCTGTAGCCATGGGGATGAGGTCATTGCCTGGTGATGTCATAAAGTGGGAGGAGTCAGTGGCCACACCCACCAGCCCAAGGCTCATGTACACACTATCTCAGGTGACCAGCCCCAGGCTCATGTACATATTATCTCAGGTAACTTCTAGAAACAGGGAGAAGAGATGGAGGCTGCTGCTCGCTGATGCTCCTGAGCAGCTGACGATAATCCCAGCCTCGTAATATCCCTTAAAACCAATTAATTAAAAATATAGGCAACAAAGAAACAACATCCGTACATTTGCAGGAAGGATAACATACGGCTGTTATTAAGGGAAAGAGAATGTAACACATTTCCTTATAGCTGACTAACCAATCCTGTGTGGTGGTGGCCAAAAATAACCCTGCCCCCAGCCTGTGGCTTAGCAGAGAGGATGGGGTTAATGACGGCACGGCGGAGGTCACAGAAGCTGCCAGGAAGTAGGTCAGAGCTGCACATGCCAGTCGCGAGAACCGCTGACACAGAGGCCTGCAACTATAATGGGCACCTAGAAGGTTCTTCGTGTCTGAGCGCCACCTTACTACCGTCTAAGCTCAGCACCTGGAAATCTCAAAGCCAGCGGAAACTACGCCGCGTCCCTTCCCCGGTTCTGACCGAATCGTTACGAACCGCCTCTTTAGTGCTGGCGATCTCTGCGGTCAGTACGGACATATGTTCACAGCGTGTGATAAGAGGCTGGCGCAAGCTTTCAAAATAAAAATAACTGCAAAGTAACAGTACACAGTAGAGTAGAAATAATGTCCTTAAAACTCAGAATGATTTAAATAGTCTAAAGAATATCGTACGGCGTAATCCATCCATCATCCAGGCGCTTATCCGGAACAGCGTCGTGGGGGATCCTGGAGCCTATCCCACACCGAACAGGGGTGCAGCCTGTGTAGGGTGCCAGTCCGTCACAGGGCACACAGACACACACACTATGGGCAATTTATATACGCCAGTTTGCATAATCAGTACGTTTTAGTTAAGTATTATCCAGAAGAAAAAAAAAATCCTCGACACAATACCAAGCACTCATCAGAAAAATATTATCTATATTTACATTAAATAGGCCTACCTGTAAAATGTATACCTATATTAAAAGCATAAACGTCAAGCATACATTTCTTATATTCACATTATATATCTATAAAATATATGAATATACTAAAACCCCAAACATCCAGCACACAAGATATTGCGTACATTAATGTTACATGCCTGTGTAACCTAAACTAAAATCTCGATTAGTGGGCAGATCAGTTATAATGTTTTTGCACCGAGTGAAGTTCTGGTGGATGTGAAAGGTCAGCTCTCTCCTATATCGGGCTGCCTATGTGGTTTGTTCCACTTTCCTGATGATCTTCCCTTCATGCCGATCTACAGAGCACTGGGCAGCTTATCCCATCGCCTTCTGCATAATACATCATCCCAAAATGACTGTGAGAAGGGGATCAGCTGTCCGGTAAATCCATCTTTTTCTCGTTCCCGGGTGCCATATTTCTTCGTTACTTCAAAAATAAGGTGCATGTTTATAAATACACCAGCAAGCAGCCACATCATCGGAGGCGATCGCTCCCGAGTACGCCCGCTCTCTTATCCAGCCCGCAAAGGGACGCTCAATCTCGGGCTTGGCGTGTCCTGCTGTGCAAGCAGTTCGTCCCCAGACAGACGCTGGATTGTGCCCGTAACACATAAAAAATGTCGTATATACTCCAACATTTACCGAAATGTGCGCCTGTTTTTCAAATAAAAAGCGGGGTGCTCCCGTATGCCACTGTAAACAACCCGGCGTCTGCTTATGTAAGCCGCAGCGACCTACATGGCTGTTAAATCGCACAAATGAAATGTTACCACTGAACAGATAAATGTAATATTATCAAAGAATTAGCATCGTTTCTCAGCCAGCACGGCCAGTTTGCTACAATTAATATGCAGCCCGTTAAGTAAAACATCCAGGTAGACAGGCGGCATACACAGCAAACCCAAATAGATTTCTTTTTTAAATCTAGGCAAAAGTGTTACCTGATCTTGTAGGTCTCTATGTCCCACGATTTCTTTTCTCCCTGTACGGTACGTATGACACTATGTGTAATATAGTAACGCGCGATGAAATAGCGGACTGAGGCCAAGACTCGTAGTGCAGTTGATCCGCTGCCGGGGGTTTGACGTAGGAAACAAAAGAGGAGCGTCTCAGTAAATCAGCTTTTACATCAGCGCATCGGTACCGTGAATGCGCTTCGGTAAACCCGCTTTAACATCGTCAGTCTATGCGTTTCGGGGAACCCGGTTTTACATTATTACATGGGTACTGGGAGTGCGCCTCGGTGAACCCGCTTTTACATTATTATATCGGTACAGGGAGCGCGCCTCGGTGAACCCGCGTTTACATTATTACATCAGTACAGGGAGCGCGCCTCGGTGAACTCGCTTTTACGTTGTGATGTATGTATGTATAGATAGATAGATAGATAGATAGATAGATAGATAGATACATAGATACATAGATAGATAGATACATAGATGCATGGTTGGATGGATGGATGGATGGATGGGTGGATGGCTACTTTATTTGATGCCTACTTTATTATGGTTATGGAAATTTGACTTGAACTCCACAAAGCTGGACCCGCCAAAACACAGACACATCACTTCATACAAAAGACATCAGACAGAATTAAAAAAAAAAAAAAAAAGAAATAAACCAAAATGCCCGTTGCTACTTTTGCTATTTTAGGCTACTCTTACAAATACTGACAGATACAGGAACGAAAGAGTTCTTGAAATGGTTCAGTTTGCACCGATGGACTCTATACCTTCTGTCTGATGGTAATAGCTCATACTGGGAGTACAGAATATAGGATGGATCACTGAGGATTCTCTGTACCTGTTTCAATACACATTGTTCAAAAATAGAAGAAATGCAAAATGAATTCTCTGAAGGAGACGAAAACATACCCAGTCAACATGAACAGTCCAGGTCAAAGTGCCATCGATATGGACACCAAGATGACTGAACTTGTATGACTGCCAGGTTCTGTATGATCACTGGACTATGATTGCCCACTTTACATGGTCAAATATGATATCCTCAGTTTTATTTTTACTTTTAGGAAAAGGTGATTTGTCTCACACCAATAAACAAATTCCCTTACTTCTGAATGATATATGTTGATATCTTCATGTCTGTAGAGTATAGAGTTGACATGGCAGAATCATCGGAGTATTTAAAAATATAATTCTGTGAGCACTCATTGGTATACAGAGTAAAAGGTAACACTTTGCTTGACCGGGCACAAATTATATAGTATTATACTATTACTTATGTATTAATTAGCCACAAACTAAGTCTTATAGTTACATATTGATTTCATGTTAATTCATCATTAATGGATCGTGAGGCATGGTTTATCTCAAGTAGTGACTATATGTTCATGATTTGTTCATGATTTGTAGTTCAGTAGTAACTGAGTTATTACTTAGGGCTGTCACTATTATAAAAAATCAAACAATCTACCTTTGAATCTAACGATTCATCGAGTAATCGTTTATATAGCCTATAATATAATATAATACAATATAATATAATATAATATAATTAGCACGAGGCAGGAATCAACCAACCACTGCAGGGTGCGCACTGAGTGACACATACGGTCAGTTTAAGCACACTAGTTTATTCAAGTTGCATGCTTTTAGACAGTGGAAGGAAACCAGAGGATCAGCAGAAAAGTTCCCACGCAGGGTGAACATGCAAATGCCACACACACACAAAGCGGCGGTGTGCGGCGACCCACCGCGCCATTCTGCCGTACTGACAGCCTTGCAGGCACGATGTGCGATGTTAATATCAACATTCATGCACATGCAGTGCTTGAAGTGGGCCGGAACGCAGCGGGACGCAGTTCCGGAACTTCTGTATTTTCGTCTTTTGGGTTCCGCCACTTTTTTCTGCGTTCCGGTACTTACTGAAACTGATCCGACGCAGCGACAGTGGCCCGAGAAAATTAGAGTTCCTGCACTTATTTTTTCCCACTTCAAGCACTGTGCACGCGCAACTGTCACATCTGAAGGACCATGATAGTCTGCTGGGTTCAAAATTCAATAAGTTGAGTTAAAACCTTTTTTTCAACTTAGTCACTGGAAACGGGCTTCTAACTCATTATTTTGCCCTGATAGCAAACAATGGGATGAGAATTGTGACTGACACAAATGCTATTTAACGCTGCTGCTATTTAATTGTGCTGTGCTATTAACTAACCAAACTAGCTGCGGTTTGCACAACCAAATATGATAATCTTTATTAATTATGTACGTGAGAGATTAAATCCCACCATTTCACATAATCTTTTATTGGTTTACTGTTGGTTATGATAAAAGGTCTTCAATGGGTTTACGTACAAAGCTGCACAGCGCTTTTCCGCTCGCCTGTTCTCTTTGCTGGCAGGTATGAGTGAGTTTCGACAAAACCATTTTAACCGAGTGTAGGGGTTCTCTTGGTGAAAACTATTACAAAAAAAATAAATTATGTGATGAGTTATATTTATCGTATGTGTTTCATTTCTCTGTGAACCAAGAATGATATAAAATGATGTTATTGATAGTCCCCTCCATCTCAACATTGGGGGGTCGGGGGGTGGGACGTATCCCCCCGCTCCTCCCTAAATCTACGCCTATGGTGCGAGTAGTCAGTCAGCTGAGTATAATGACAAGGAGGTGAACCCCCCACCCCCCCCGCCGTCGAAAAACCTTGTTGAGCTACAGGCTAAGGCTCACTTAAGTGACTGTATTTATTTTTATTTTATTTAGAAGTGCATTATCACAGAAAATAATCCAAATATTTATGTTCTGATTATTGTTGTGCTGTTATTTATGTCAGCTTTCAACATGGACACCACACATTTCTCAAGGCATTTCATGACAACTAAAGTAAGTGCCACTGATCTAAAATCATTGTTTTCAGCTGGATGGGCTTTTTTGAGGATTGGAATGAATACAGAACTTTTCGGGGAGATGGAACCTTGTGAGTATATAAGGACAGTTGAAAGATAGGGCACCATGTGGATGTTTGTTCTTCTACACAAGTTTTTAAAAGGAAAGGTGAAATCCCATCTGGTCCTACAGCTTTCTTTAAGGGAACATGCTTAAAAAGATAACAGATATATTGTGGATCAGTCCACGGCTTGTCCGGCAGTTCTTAAAGTATTTGCACTGGGAGATACATGGGATGCACAGAGCATAGTATCTTCAAACTCTCTGGGCAGATAAGGGTCTTAGGAATAAGCAAAGAAGTTCAGTGTCAGGATTGCACACCATCACTCTTACTTTAACCAATCAGCACCATTTGTTGTTGATGCAGCTACCTCAGTTCTTCCCTGGTGCTGCTGGTTTTTATGCCCAGGTGAGGGAAAAGAACATAAGAAAGAACATAAGAACTATACAAACGAGAGGAGGCCATTCGGCCCATCGAGCTCGCTTGGGGAGAACTTAACTAATAGCCTTCCACTTCCACCAAAGAGTTGACAATATCCAAGTGAAGCCAAGTCTTAGTAAGCACTATATATGATCTCCACTTCCCGGTACTCATAGCAGACCCAGGCGTTGTTGCGGAAGTCCTTGATTTTATTTTGCGGTAATCTGATATTGCTCAATATCATCGCTGGCAGGGGAGGTTTATGTCTGTACAGTCGGGCTCATTGTCAGATCCCCGCCTTTCTGAACTTTTCTCCACCGGCGTCTGCTCAGAGCTGCTCCGCTCTGATTCCAGCAGGTTTGTAGGAGCGATAGAACCAACCACATAACGGAGCAACAAAAGGTTGCTTCTTGTGTATGAGTGTGATGAGCCTTCAGTGGAGCTTGGAGTTATCCGGAGAAGTCAGCACGACGTAACCCAGTACGCCACGAGCAGTGCCAGGGAAAAGAATTCCAAACAAGCCATTGGTGTCTACTGTCTTATTGTGGCTAAAACACATAAAATACTTAAAGGTTATGAAGAGACAACATATAAGATTAAGAAACATGAAAATAGAAAACTAACATACAATGCTGGGTCACAGCAATGGAAATCCGGGTCACCAGCAGGGCAGCGCTTTTACATTATTACATCGGTGCAGAGAGGGAGCCCCAGTAAACTTACTTTTATAATATTACATCAGTACAGGGAAAGTGCCTTGCAGTGGCGGCTGGTGAAAAAAATTCTTGGTGTGGCTGATGTACCAATAGATTTCCCTTCCTAGTCCAGTATAAGCATTCAAATGAGCAGCCAGAAAATTACAACAATTTCACAATCATAATTTAATTTCCTTCTCAAAATCAACAGTTTCACAGATATAGTAAATTAACAATTTACAGTTACAGTTATTTCGGGCTTGTCGGGTCCCAGCTCCTTAACGTGGATTTTTTTCCACCATCGTCCTTCTCGCAAGAGGGTAATTCAATAACGATCTCACCGGATTTGGTGGAAGCTGCCCCTCAACTGTCGTCGTCGCCATCATCTCTCTCTGACTGACTGACCTGAGAGCAATCCAAAACGTTCACTTTTTTTCTTTAGCAGGGGAAAAATTTCCAGAATTTCCAGAGTTCAAGACCATAGATGAGTGTAGTAACGTAGATCGACCAATAAGTTGAAAGCTTTGCCTTCCGGCTCAGCTCCCACTTTACCACAACAGAATGGTACAGTGTCCACATTTCTGCCGACACTCTACAGATCCATCTCCCGCTCCCTTCTTCCCTCACTCGTGAACAAGACACCAAGATACTTAAACTCCTCCATTTGAGGCAGTAACTAATCCAGTACCAGAAGAGGGCAATCCACCTTTTTCTAGTCAAGAACCATGGCCTCACACTTGGAGGTGCTGATCCTCATCCAGGCCACTTCAGACTCAGCTACAAACCACCCCAGTTCATGCTGCAGGTCACCACCCAACGACACCGACAGGACCACATCATCTGCAAAAAGCAAAGTTGTGATCCTGAGGCCCCCGATCTGGGCCCCCTCCACCCCTTGGCTACG